AACAAACCAATGGGAAACAAGACACATGACTAGGACAACCAATCAGAACATGACACATGAACCAAAGAACAAATCAGAACATAACACACAGACAAGGGAATCACATGACAGAACATGATCACATGTGGGGCAAGGAACACATGACAAACCAGGAAATTAAACTAAGATCATGAATACAAAGCAAAAGACATGAACACCAACACAACCCAAAACAAACCCTGACACTAGTATAACTATCTAGTATTAAATTATAACATTTTAATCTAATCTGTTTGACTTCAGCTGCCAAATTGTTTTGTTTAATGTTAAAAACGACTGCACTTTAAAACCTTAAAATAAATATAATTTCTGTACTGGTTTAACCATTACTTATCATGTAATATATACTTAAAGGGATAGTTCACCCAAAAATAAAAATCCTGGCATTTATTACTCACCCTCATGTAATTTCCAAACCCTTCCCTGATAGCTCACGTACATCACGGAGACATCTATTTGATGTCTATTTGACGTCTGCACGTACATCTGCAAGACGTATTTTTTAGAGTGTTTGCTCATCTGCAATGCGTCTATAGGACGTTTCCTTTCAGATGTCAAATAGACGTTTAGAAGATGTCTTTAAAATGTCTATAATTTAGAATGTATGTAAAGCTGACATCTTAAAGACGCCTGTCAGATGTTTGTACACAGCAGATGCTTTCCAGATGAAGAGATCTTAAAGGGGTCATATGATGCGATTTCAATTTTTCCTTTCTCTTTGGAGTGTTACAAGCTCTTGGTGCATAAAGAAGATCTGTAAATTTGCAAAGACTAAAGTCTCAAATCCAAAGAGATATTCTTTATAAAAGTTAAGAGTTAGCCACTCCTCCCTAAAACGGCTCGTTCTAACACGCCAATAATGTACAGTATGTGGAAAATAATGTGTTTTTTGAACTTTAAACCGCATTAACACATTTCATTACACCAAATACACAAAATAATGTTCTTTTTAGCAGCATCATATGACCCCTTTAACAGACATCTTGCAGACGTACCTGTGTACATCATCTTCATTCATCTTTGGAGCACAAATTAAGATATTTTTGATGAAATCCGAGGCTTTCTGACCCTGCATGGACAGAAACGCAACTGAAATGTTCCCAGGCCCAGAAACGCAGTAAGGACAAAGGTAAAGCAGTCCATGGGATATCAGTGGTTCAACCGTAATTTTACAAAGCTATGAAAATAGTTGTTGTGCGCAAAGAAAACAAAAATAACGACTTTATTCAACAATTCTTCTCCCCTTAGTCACCCTGTGCCTCCATTATCGAGAGTACCATGACGCATGCGCATGATGCTGTTGAAGTAGAACATGCATGTGCTGCGCCTTGTTTACTTGCAGAGAAAAGCACGCGCGTGCATCGTGGTACTCTCGTGAATGGAACATTGGTGAACATTTCAGTTGCGTTGCTGTCCATGCAGGGTCAAGAAAGCCCTCAGATTTCATCAAAAAAAGCTTAATTTGTGTTTCGAGGTCTTACGGGTTTGGAACGACATGAAGGTGAGTAATTAATGACAGAATTTTCATTTTTGGGTGAACTATCCCTTTAATATGCCATGGGACACAAAAGGCATTTTCTCAGTATAGGTCCATGCTGTGACTGGCAATAGTTATACGTACACATCTTTTCATTGTGGTTATTGTGGCAGGAAGAGAGTTCTGTGGTAAATGTAGTATTTCTTGTACCTTCCTGTCGTGGGCAGATCTCTTTCATGTGAAGACGGACGCTCTTATTGCTCACTGGATTCACAGCCGTGCAGCTGTAGGTCTCTGGATCGTTATAATGAAGCTCTAATGGTAAACTGAGGTTGATGCTGAGATCAGGATTGCTGGTCTGATTCAGCATTTCACTCCCTTTATACCACGAGATAGACACGTCTCGATCATTCTTCACAGAGCAGACCACAGAGCAGAAATCTCTATTTGGAAATTCTGAGGAGGAAAAAACACCTTAGTTTTATTCAAAGGCCCAAACTGAGCAAAAATATGCAGCTTGGTGCAGATGTTGTTATTTATATGGCCAATAATTAAGATTGTAATGTAAATCACTAAGATATTTATAACAGCATAGCAGACTACTAACATAAAATTATATAAATATCAGTCGTCACTCTGTATCTCCAAATAATATGTCTTAGTAGGATGATATTTAAATGCTTAGTTTTATGATCAAAACAGAATGCAATGCAATACAATGATGATTGAGACATGAACAAATAAACATTCCTCAAAAGCCTGATGAAAAATGCTGAATGGATAATCAAGTAAACCTTACAACAGTTGCTTCAGTCTAGTAAGTGTTCATATTGAAATATTACTCACAATATAAAAGTTATTCTTACATTTACTTAAAATCAGTAAAGCTTTCATAGCAAAAAGACAAGTGAAGCACGAGCTGAAGGTGGACATTTGTACAGTTATACTAAAAGGCCTTTTACTTGATAAAAGTCTAAACTGTTAATCAGACGAGACGACAGAAGGCATGCAGTATATTGTGTGCAATATGGTTTTTCAGCAAAGGTTTGAACATGTCCTTAGAAATACATTTAAATGAATATAGTCATAACCGGCGATCGTAGATGATACAGTCATACAATGCCTATGTCTCTTTTCAAATATAATACAGTCTAAAGTCTTTAGGTGGACAGCAGTACTATGAGAACATTAGCATTACGGCCTTCATCCCTGAATCCCATTGATATTAATGGCTGATATTTGATCTCTTTCCCCACAATTGACAATTTTCTGACTTTCCATGTTTTCACAGGTATACTGTAGCGGGTGCTATTACACATCTTCTGATAGTGTATTGAATCTCCAGATGAAAACACGATGAAGAAGAAGCCGAAACAAGCGATCGTGTAAGTAAGCAGATGCATATGTAAAATAACACGATCATCAAGCATTAAACAGCATACCAAATCAAAACTGCCTAAAGGGGTGGTGGGGGGGCTAATGCTATTTCATGCATTCTGAGTTATTTACACTGTTAAAGAGTTGGAGTCTCATGCTAAACATGGCCAAAGTTTCAAAAAACGAGTTGGACGTATGACGGAGTATTTCTGTGCCAAATACACTCCTTCCGGGTTCGAATAAGTTTCGGAAAGTTTTTTTCAAGTATGGCCCTGTATGACGTCATGAAGGGCGGAATTCCTTGTATGGTCACTTCTCCCGGAAGAGCGCTCGCAAACAGCAACCAGAGCGAGACCGAGAGCAGCCCATCAACATGCTTCATTCGGGTTACTGAAGTCGTCGGCAGCGCTGCACAGGACTTGCTCAGAAGAATGTCTCCAAAGAAGTGTGTTTTTGGATGTGAGGGAAACATAACCTTGTTCAGCTTCCTAAAGAACCCAGCGTTACGTGAACAGTGATGCAGTTTGTTTTTCCGGGGCAGCAACGGAGTTTTGCGTGTGTGTAGTTTTTATTCCCATCATTTTGGTGACGAATGTTTTATAAACAAGGCCCAGTTCGACGCTGGATTTACAGATCGTTTGATACTGAAAGATCGAGTGGTCCCAGTGATAAAAGATCCCGGTCATGAGTCAGAACCGCAGGCCCTAAGTAAAACTGCATCCAATTTCTGTGTTTTGTTGGCAGTCGGCGCGTGACTCTTAAGCTCCGCCCACGACACGCCTCCAGGAGCTCGGCTGTTTTTGGAGAGGATCGTAAAGCTGTATCTTTCTTTTATAAATCTGATAAATGCCCCCTTAATGTTACCGAATGAAATGTCGACTCAGGAAGTGGTTTAGGACTGTGCAAGCTTTGGGGGTGTTGATGGAAGGAATCGACTCCATCTGCTGTTAGTGCTCCGAGCATCAGAAATTAGTGATCTATGATATTGTATTAGTTGAATATAATTTTGTATATACATTTTGTGTCTACTTGTTAATGAGGGATTTGTGGACAAAAAAAAATATTTTTATATTTTTAATTTTGAAGTATAAATTTAAAATTAGACCCTTGGGGTAAGATGGGCCGCCAGTTTGGCACACAATGCCCCAAGTGGCATGTTGTTACTATTGCTATTATTTTAAAATGTATTACTTGTTGTAATTAATGGGGTTATTATTTAATGTTTCCATTAATTAGATGTACATTTCAGACATCCTTCACTTTCATTAAAACCTGTAGGTTAACTGAGTGAAATCATTAAATTTACATTCAGAGTGTTGCTATTATGACATCTTAAATTAAAATATGGGCAAATATAAATATGTAAATATTCATGTGCCTGTGTATAAGTCAATAGATATTATTATTTAACTAAATTGTCAAAGTAAAATAAAAAAAAAAATAGCTGATTTAGTTATTTTTTTACATTAATGACACTTTTAAAATATATAAATATTAATAAGAATTATATCAAAAGTAATTTATAAATGTATTAACATTTTACATTATGTGCTAGAACAACTAAATTAGCAAATGTTTCTGTTTATTTCCTATAATAACACATTGGCTGATGCATCATCATTGTACCCATGCTAAACTATCTCAATATGTAACAATTTAAAAGTAAATCCACATTGTTCTTAAGAGGGGCATCTTGCCCCATCTTACCCTACTTATTAGAGCGCCACCTTTGGTCCGATCAAGGGGTGCATGTACCCCTGAGTAATGGGTGGCATTTGGGATCATCCTGCCAAATTTGGTGTTTCTAGGACTTACAGTTTTGGCTAGCCAGACACTTATAGGGCAAAAAATGAATAATAATAAGACAATCAGTACAAATACAATAAAGTTGTGGCATCTTCAATGCTTGGACTCCTAAATGTATGGGACTTACCTTGAACGTGGTTTGCACTGACCAATAAGCCACCACTAATGACAGGTACAGAAACCGGTGCTTTAGAGGAACACAACACACGAAAAAAGTCATTGGAGATGCCAATTTTAAGTCACAGTGGAATCTATATTAAAAAAAAATCTTAGGACCTGCTTTATTTAAAGAAGCTAAAAGTAACTTTAAAGGCTTACTGAGGTTAAACTAAGTGTCAGAAACATTAGGTTTTTAACACTTAAGACTAACATTATACTCTTAAGTAGCTCAATATACTGGCACAGAATGTGACACAGTAATAGTTTGTTTTGTATTGGCTGTAGCTAAAACTTACCATATACATCGACTCTGAATGCTTTCCTAGAGATGAAATCATTGATGGTGAGAGCAAGCTTATAAAGTCCAGATTCACTGACGCTGATGTTCCAGATGGTCAGTGATCCTGTCTGTTGGTCGAGCTGCAATCTGTCAGCCAGTCTCTTATGAAGCGATACTTTACTACGGTACATCTGTGCTATTTGGGTGGTTTGGCTGCCGGTTGTAAACAGCCACATTGTCTCATCATCTCCTTTTAGTTCAGGTATTCCTGTTTGCAAAGTCAGAGCCTCTCTCTCCATCACTGTCTTTAACTCATCCCATCCACCATTCACCAGATCTGAAACAATATAAACGAGGGTTAAACAGGGGTTATATGGAGAGTTTAATCAAACTACAAAAATCTAAAGTCGAGTATATCTAGAATACCTAGAAAACACAATATGATCTAAAATTCTGGACTTCTGAAATCTTTGCTAAGACTTGAACAAACACTTTGAGACTTGAAATGTTGCATTGTTTAGAAATGAATTCAGCATTGACTACAAACTATTGAAAATGTTCTAGTAAGCTGCTTGACCAGTGACCACAACCACTAAAACAATATTTTGCTTGAGAAAAGAAAATATATTTAAAAGGTTTATCTTACCTTCCATACTGATGAAAAATACAATAATAACCCACATGCTGATGGACATTTTAAAAAATGATCAGATGATATAAGTGCTGTTGTTTCTCTTGATGAAGCACCTGAAGCCCGAAATGATCTGATGAACATTCAGTGAAGATTCAGTCTCTGACTTTTATCAGGAAGTGACACACTGGCAATGACATCAGCTGTACCACTAGATGGCACCAAGACCAACAATGAACAATTAAAGGGGTCATATGATGCGATTTCAATTTTTCCTTTCTCCATATCATAGCATCCACTATTTCAATATGTCATTTAATAAGGTTTTGCACTCAGTATCAGTAGCTAAAATGTAATTCTCTTTTTAATGTCACACGTGTCCTTCAATGTATGTTTATTTCCCAGACGATTAGTAAATGTGTGTGTTCATGCTTCTGAACATCAGCGAGACAAAAATGTCAGAAACTGCCCAGTTAGAGTATCTTTACATGTGCATGTGTTTACATTTAGTGGTGAGACTTCAAATTATGTGCAGTAGGTGCAGACGTGGGCATTTGAGTGTTTGATGTCTACTGAAATTGCTGTGGTGGATCAGAAAATCGGAAAATGTTTGTTGGAAAATTGGAAATAGTGTTTTGAAATGTGTTCTCTGTTTGAATGTAAAACAATGCATTTAAGCCAGTTTTTCACAATTGCTTCACAAAGACTCTAAACCCCATTTTCTGAACCAAATTCTCAAAGGCCTAAGCCCATTTGTAGAATAAATCACTCTTTCTGCAAAACCTTAAACAAGTTCAAGCAGTTAGACTCCATTAGTTATACTTTCTCATGCACTCTAAAACTCTAAACACATTCTCACTCACTCAAACACATTTTGCACTGATGCATAATATAATATAGCCTTTATTATAATACAGGTGCATCTCAATAAATTAGAATGTCGTGGAAAAGTTCATTTATTTCAGTAATTCAACTCAAATTGTGAAACTCGTGTATTAAATAAATTCAATGACACGAGTTTCACAATTTGAGTTGAATTACTGAAATAAATGAACTTTTCCACGACATTCTAATTTATTGAGATGCACCTATATATCATTTTTTCTGTAACTACATGCTCTGCATGCTGTGTTCTCCTTTTTTTTTTTGTGTCTAATGAATGATCTGTAGTGTGTATATATTGACAGGCTGGGATCTGAAAGTATTGTTTGATGTTGAGTACAGGTGAAATGTTTTTTTTTGTTGTTGATTGTTTGATTTTGTCAGAAAAGTCAGGGGGAAACATGTACATCTACATTACAGTTTTTCTGAATTGCTAAAACACATTTCTTGAAATCATCACTCATTTTCTCAAAACCTTAAACACAAATCCGAATATTCAAACTAAATTCACAAAACCCCTAACTCTTCTGGCAAAATCAAACATTCGCTTCAAAACCATTTCACCTGTACTCAAAATCAAACAAAGCTTTCAAATCATACACACATTAGTCAATAATATACACACTACAGATCATTCATTAGACACTACATCCAAAAATGGAGAACACAGTATCCAGTGCATGTAGTTACAAAAAAACAACAACTATTTATTGCATTTAGTAAATATATTGCAATAAAAAAACACACACAAACAAAAGAAATGACACCATATTTATGCTGCGGCACCCGGGGAGCAGTTGGGGGTTCGGTGCCTTGCTCAAGGGCACCTCAGTCGTGGTATTGAAGGTGGGAGAGAGCACTGTACATTCACTCCCCCCACCTACAATCCCTGCCGGTATGAGACTCGAACCCACAACCTTTCGGTTACGAGTCCGACTCTCTAACCATTAGGCCACGACTT